ATATACGACTTAATTGCTGCCGTTAGGCAGCTCCCTATTCTTCACGTTTGCTTGACCCAGTCTTTCGCGCGACATATATATTGGCAAGATCTCGATCGAATGTGTCCGGGTGTCTGTCCGCAATTACGGGGAAATGATTATTCTGGAAGTTTTTTAAACAAGGGGGGCGGTCAAACTTTATTTTGTATTGTGCTCGCATGATTGATTCTTCTCAGGATTTCAGAAACGATCAACAATACTTTGCCTTTGGATATAAATTCCGGTAAGGATAGCTTTGTTTAGCTGGCAATATACTTGAGGATAGCTTTGTTTAGCTGGCAATATACTTGAGATATACTTGAAAGCATTTATATTTAGATCTGCTGTTTTGTAGTGTTCGATATACTAGAGTAGAGGTATTGAAATAATGTTGAATATTGAATATGATTTCATGAATTTATCAGCAGTTTTATTCACAGATATTATATATTTATACAAGGAGTCAAATTTTAGTAATATTTGTTTGTGTGGCGATGTCCCAAGGCGATGCACGTCTTAATATTCAGGCTTAATGTATAAAAGATATTCCTATACCAGAAACCCAGTGTGGATTGTTGTCTACATATTAACTTACCAGCAGTTACATGTAATATACCCTGCTGGCAGTGGTTTCTGAGCTAAGGAGAAACCACTGCGAGCAAACAAACGATTTTCTAGCGAAGATCGCGTGATGCGACCAACGCGACGTCACTTTATAAAATTTGACTTTCTCTTCTGTAGTTTGTTAGATGTAAACTAGACTTGCCACAAGTCGACCATGGGGGAGGGAAGGCGCGGGGGAGGGAACACGCGACCCGAGCGACGAAGTCGCGAGTGGTCGACTTGTGTCCCTTGCAGGAATTTAAATCACATTAAAAATTTTGGCGCGAATAATTTTGACATAAAAGGGGTGTGTACATTTCATACAATTACTTCACCGCGACGTCAATTGGTCTACAAAAACACAAAAACATTCCCAAGAATTGATATTTCTTTGTCCTCGAATGAAACAGTTTGCACCGAGTGTGGAAACTAAATAACTGACCCAAGTAAGCGCCGAAAGCTGTTCAATGTATCAACAAAAACGAGTGCATGTAAAAACTTATTGAATCTGGACAGTTGTTTGTCTAACAATGTGTGCCGTAATTGTCCCGACAAGAATAGTAATTTATTAGACTTATTATAGAAAGTTGATTCAGTTCGCGAGCGATTTAATATTAGTAGTAGAAGTTAATCTAATTGAAAAGAATCAGATAACTGTGACCGCGAAGCAGAGAGGCGGCGATTGTGATCAACGAGAAGACGTCGCCAGAGTTCAAAATCCGGTAAAAATACGCGTTGTTTTCTCAACAAATGATTTTGTATTAATAATCAGTAATCGAGATCAAGAAACCCAAACTAAACCCGAAACTAGTGAGGAAATTTTAGAATCATTAGATGCATCTTCGGTACGTGACAGTATTAATAAAGTTTATTTCGACACCCTGTACTTTTGAGTAAATATAGCCTACTCAATGTAATGCTTGTTTGTGTATTTTCACATGGTTTTTGTGTTCTACAAAATTGTAATTACATTGTTTACTCTATTTGCTTCAATAGTACACATTTGTTCAACAAGAAAGCCTGAGAATATAATTTGTAATACAATAATAATGTAAATTGTAAACCGCTTCGGGAAATCGGCAATGTACACAATGACGTCACCGGTGGATTTTTCCACCCGTGATATTTGGCGCGCTGCAAGTGACAAAAGTCCTTTCCACAGAGGAAGCGAAGCGCGCCATAGAAGGGTCTGGAAAGGACTTTGGAAAGTCTAGTATCGTTGCTGCTGTTGTTGTTCTTGCCATTGTTGTTGTTATTATTGCTGCTGTTGTTGTTGTTGTTGTTGTCGTTGCTATCACAGCTGCTGTTGTTGTTGCTGTAATGTTGCCAGCTGTTGTTGTAACATTGCTATTGTTGTTGCATGTTGTGCATGTTGCTATAATGTTGCTATCGATGTTGTTGCTGTTACATTGTTTTCTTGTTGTCTTGATGCTGTACATCTTCTAGTAGCATGCCCAAAAACGTGGTTAAATAGAAAACAAAATTCAAACCGCCCTTACCTGGCAAAGCTGTCAAACTATTCTCATTAAGAGCCAATGTGTTTAGATTGCTTAAAGTTCCAATTTCTGTCGGAAGCGATGCAAGCTTATTACCATAAACAAACAACTCCGTTAACTGTTTTAACTACAACAAGAAAAAGGCAGAATACATGTTACAACAAATTAAATACATAGTCCTAGAATGCCATTTATCAAATAGTTTAAACAGACGATTATTGAATAATCTAATTTTCTTTCGCCAAAAAGATCGCTACAAAAGTGTAAACTCTCAATTAGCCATTCCGAAGTTGACGAGTGGACTGGGGACGAGTGTTAAAAAGTGCCCAAATTAAGAAATGCACCACATCACTAAAAAGACCACCTCAAAATTAGTAAGTATACAAAGTTTGAAGACTTTTACATGAATACCCTTCGAATAATAAGCTTTCGAAAATTGTGAAATTACTGATTAAAAGATCGTTTTGGGGACGCGCGTCCCCAAAAACAAAAATTACAGTACATTTCATAGTAAATATCGCGATTTTCGAAAGCTTTATTATTCGAAGGGTATTCATGTAAATGTCTTCAAACGTTGTATACTTACTAATTTTGAGGTGGTCTTTTTAGTGATTTGGTTCATTTCTTAATTTGGGCATTTTTAATACTCGTCCCCAGTCCTCTCATCAACTTCGCAATGGCCAATTGCACTAACACTTCCGCAACAACGTTTTCTTCCTGTTTACGACGTAATCACGCCTGCACATACAGTATATAGACCTGGGCACAGAATAAAGATCAGTAACAGAAGGGCCACTCAGCGGTGCAATGTGTTCTCGTTTTTTTATGCAAAAATATGCAGTCTACTGGCCAGAAGGCAGAGCAGCCAGCCAGTACAGCGTGTTCATTGGCCAGAAAATGTCATTGACTGGCTAGGGAAAATGGCGGACAACATGCGTAATGCGACATGCGCGAGGACAGAAACTTCAAAGCTTCCGACGTAAGTGGCCCTTCTGTATGGATCTTTATTCTGTGACCTGGGTTAGCTTTTGTAAATTAGTCTGATGAAGAACTTGCAATAAATTCGAGATATCACTGTTGAATATCGTGTCCTCTTGTTCCACTTAAATATTAAGTTTCATGATGGAATTCGGAGTTTATTTTCTATACTTTAATCCAAAGAATTATATTTGAAACTTTTACTGTGTGTGTCTACAAATTACCTCTTTGATATCTTTCGGAAGACTGTGAATCTAAAAAAACAACAGAGAATTTTTTTATACATGTAGAAACGTCTCTCTTGGTAGGCTAGTCATCTCAATGCCGGGGAAAACGGGCATGCATTTTCTTAAAAAAGTACCCCGTCAGTGCGGTCGCCCGTTCATACGCCAACGGCCACATTTTGAAATCCTAAACAGTATATAATCCTATATAATTTTACCCCATTAATACGGCCACTTACGCTATACTTAGACAATCAAAACCCCTGCGAACACCGACACGGCAAATTCCCTTTCAAGAGCAATATCTCCCACGCTCAAAGCGATTGATTAGAACCATGCAGGGTTGGAACGCAGAGCAAGACAGTCGAAGATCACTGATTTTTTTCCAAAATCGTGAACACGCGAGACTGAGACTCGACAGCTTCATATTGTACAATCATGTATAAAATCCTCTGTATAAAGTCAGAGGTTTTTACAACGATAATAACCTAGTCTTTCCTTGTTTTGCATTTGTGACGGTTTGTTAGTATTGTATGTACTGTAAATCTTTAAAATCCAGAGTGTGTCGAGTGCCATTTTCGGCCGGTTATTTTGGGGAGAGGGGGAGAGGCTATTTTATCAAGTTTTGGTGATTTCGAATAATCATTTAACACACAACGAAATACAGCTGCTTGCAAAGGGCCACACTAGACAACTTCCTATTATACGCCCACTCAATTCAAGAAGGGTTTTGTAGATGTAGATTTCAAGAGCGAATTTTAAACATTTTATAAGACCTAACCTGAAGCAGTTGCAAAAAATGTAACAAAATATAGGCCCTCCATATGTTGCACTTTTCCCAACTTCTGTTAATGTATAAAATTCACAACCAAAATATCCATGTACAAAACCCTTGCATAATCAGTCATATAGAACGTCGATGCCCACAATCCCGATTCATTTACGCACTCAATTCAACATCTTCATATTATGATATTTTTGGTGTGTGTTTTGAAGTTATGTACTCAGGTGAATATAATGCTTTTGATGTTACTCTGAGTGTATATCCACACCGGGCAGGCTGAAAAGTTTGCCTGACCACGGTGGGAATCGAACCCGAATATCATGATCATAAGAACACATTGGTATCAAAGGTACTATAGACTTAGTTCCGAAATACCACACACTCGAACCGACTTGACCTCGTATAGCTCAGTTGGTTCAATTCCCACGGTAGTCAGGCCAACTTTTCAGCTTGCCTGGTGTGGATATACTCACAGTAACATCAGAACCACTTTCATATTAGCAAGAAATTATTTGTATCCAAAAATAACATTCCTCAAAAAACATACGTTTCCTCGTTTTCTGCTATTTCAAAAGTACGGCGAATATGCACATTTAAGAATAATAGATAGGTGTTAGTCGAGAAAATTTCCTGTACTGTAAACCACAGACATTAATGCAGACCATAGACGAGAAAGTTCGATAACACAAAAGTTCTTTCAAACAAAAGTAACAAAGAACTAAAAATATCCAAACATTAATTCCGACATCCCGCCTGGCTAATACATCACAAGTTACGGTCAAGTGACAGAAAGAACATACCATAAATATTATAATAGAGCAGAAAGTTCGATAAGACAAACGTTCTTTCGAACCAATAACCAAGAACTAAAAATATCCAAACACTTTCGATATCCTACCTAGTTAATAATTAAGTTCCTGTCAAATGACAGGAAAAGCACACCACGTACAAGTTAATTACATCATATACACTATATATTCATAGTACTTGGAAATTTCACAGTATAGCTGGTTATCTTTCGTGAGTAAATGTGCTTGGGCATATTGTCTATTTAGTTTAAGTTCAGTATCGCTTTGTTGTTTGAGAATAGCAGTTCAATATGTCTTCAATCGTGACGAGTATTCTAAGTTCAACCGTGGGTTTGTTTTGGAACAAAGCTCGCGACTCTACTGCGGCTAAGCTGAAGGACGGCGATG